AATTCATCGCGATCCACGCGTATGGTCGGATCTTTGTGAATTTCAATCGAAAAGATTCCTAACTACCTACAAGGATTTTGATATTAGAGGCCAGAATTTCAAGCTGATCCCATTTGGGAGTGGTAGAAGAATGTTTCCTAGAGTTTCCTTTGAGCTCCAAGTGTTGGAGCTGACGCTAGCTAATCTGCTGCAAGGGTTCGAGCTAGGGACCACTTTAGATGAACCAGTTGATATGGGTGAAGCCATAGGGATGACAAACTTGAAGGTCTCTCCCCTCAAAGTCTTGATTACTCCACGTCTTCTTGTTGTTTGTTATTAGCTTGTAGCATTTGCAACAATAAATGAAACTTCAGCTTACTTTTAGGCTATTAATGGCTACCATACCTTTACAGGCACAGAACTTAAAGGCCTCTCCCCTCGAACTCTTGATTACTCCACGTCTTGCTGCTGTTTATTATTAGCTTGTATGATTTTGCAACTATAAAGGAACTTCCAGCATATTTTTAGGTTGTTCTACTATAATAGCATCTTGTAACTTTATGAATAATAAAACCTTGTTTGTTCAAGCTCTGAAGAACGGGTTTGTCAGTCACAATTTACTACCTACAATTGTAAAGAGTAATATCACAAGTACTTAGTACTGAGGTCAGCAAGATCTTGTAGAAATCTCATTTTATTTTGTCTTTTAATTTCATTTTACTTTTATGGGGTTACATATTTAGTGGGGTTATGACTCAACTCATTAACTGGGTTTAGTTTTTAAATCTTAATATTTCTTAAGCTGAATAATATTTTAAATTAATTAATTAAAAAAAGGAATATTGTTGCGTTAGAGTAGAAAAGTAGAACGTTCATATATGAAAAAATTTATAAAATATTTATGCTTTTAAAAATAATAATAATAATATAAACATATTATGGGTTATACCAATGATAGAATTTTTACTTGAGGACGCGAGAAATTGTATTTTGAGATTAATTTTCTTAATAGAGGGATTTGATTGTAACTCATGGGAAGGTTTCAATCTTAAATCACAATACTTTAATCCAAATAAACATTTCTTTAAAATATTAATAAAAAAGATATTAATAAATAAAAAAAGTTAAAATAGAAATAAAATAAAAAAAGAAATAATAATAATGATGAACATAAAGTATGAATGTCTATTAATATTTATAGCCTACCACCCACCATGATTGCATTATGTAAATGTTATGGTATCTCGGTATATTTTGTATATGAGTTATGGCTCTAATGATGGGACTTTTTGAGAAAACTTATAAAGGTGAGTTCGTTTGGAAAATTCTCTAAGTGAAAAAATACCTTTGTATCTCACTAGAATGATGTAAGGGTTCGAAA